GAGTGTAATGTCGGGGTGAGCTTATATCTTAAAAAATGTTAATAGTTGACAAGATACAATGTAATTTCTTAATTATTGACATTTTTTTAAATATAAACTCATTTTGATGTTACACTTATCGAGAGCTTTCATTTAAGTACCCACATGTATTTTGATATATATTTTTCATATATACATATATATAATATTTATAAATATATAAAAGATATGAAAAGTTGATGTGGGTACTCAAATGAAAGGTCTTGATGAGTGTAACATCGGGATGAGCTTATATCTTTAAAAATGTCAAGAGTTGACAAGATTCAAGGTAATTTTTTAATTATTAACCTTTTTAAAGATATAAGCTCATTTCAATGTTACGCTCATCGAGACCTTTCATTTGAGTACTCACATGCATTTTTTATATATTTTATATATTTCACAAATATCATATATATCACATATATGAAATATATAAAAAAATCAATGTGGGTACTCAAATGAAAGGTCTCGATGAGTGTAACATCGGAATGAGCTAATATTTTTAAAAATGTCAATCGTTCACAAGATACAATCTAATTTTTTAATTATTGACATTTTCAAAGATATAAGCTCATCCTGATGTTACATTTATCAAGAGCTTTCATTTGAGTACCTACATGTATTTTTGATATATTTTTCATATATACATATATATGTATAATATACATAAATATATAAAATATATGAAAAATTGATGTGGGTACTCAAATGAAAGGTCTTGATGAGTGTAATGTCGGGGTGAGCTTATATCTTTAAAAATGTCAATATTTCACAAGATACAAGGTCATTTTTTAATTATTTATCTAGAGATTCATTTATTTTTCTACACAAATTCATAAAATTACCAAATATGTACTAATTTTTGTAATTTATACCAAATTATAAATTACCAGTAAATGAAGCAGTTGAAGTCTTTCTGCTGTTAGGCCGGCTCCCAAACAAACTAAACAGCCTTTGAAAAACTCCCAATCGATTGGGACCCTCAGTTTCGCGTCTCCACTGAAGCTTATAAATGTCGGCTAAGCTTCTCCTGGGTCCAGCTGGTTCCAAATCCGGCTGGCTGCTAAATGCTACGGTTCCGCGACGCATGCCTAAGTTTTACGAGCAATTGTCCCATAATTTCAATCACAATGCACTTTACAATACATTATTATATTAATATAATCAACAAATTACTTAAATAATTTTTTTTTCCATATTTCTTTTTACAGACTTTATAATTTAAAAGGTCAATTAATTTTTTTAAGTTAATACCTAGCCAAAAATTATTTAAATAATTTTATTAAAAAAAATTCTTACATCTAATTTTTTTTATTGTGCAAAAAACCTTAAAAAGCACATGATATTTACAAATGAACATAATGAAGGGTATAAAAAATAATGTATTTTATTTACACTCGACGAGTTCAAGATTATTTTAAAAACAACGAATTAAACAGCAACTCATTATTTTTATATGGTAATGAACAACGTTAAGTTAATAAAAAAAAAAGAAACTAAATATTTAAAATGCAATACTTTAGTTTTTATTCAGACTTGGCAGATCCCCTTGGACCCTAGTATTCCCAATGCCTCTTCTCTAGTCACTCGGATGTTTTTTTTTTGAATTTTTTTCCGCGAGAAATAAAACAGTTTTGCTGATGGCGAGTCTCGAGCGTTGCTCAACTATAAAGATTATCAAGTGAGCACGAAAAGGTCGATGAAAAAAGAGAGAAAGACACCAGAAATAAATGCTGAGTAATAAAAAAAATTAGACGGAAAATAATATAATAAAATAAAATAAAATTTGATTAAATAGGAGAAGATGAAAGCGTGGAAAAAATAATTACCCGTTTTATATCTACACTACAATTATTATAATACATTTGTATATTTTTTTATAAATTTTTTAATTTTAAGAACTAGGTCACAATTCCTACAAGCTTTTTTCAACAGAATAGAATACTTTTTACAATTTATTTTATACTTTGTTCACTTTGAGTGAGATTGTAACTATTGGAAAATATTTTTTGTTATTTATATATTCTATGTCTATATTATTATTATTATCACTAATACAAACGCGAAATTTTGTTTGTTTATTATTTTTTTTAAGAGTTTAATGATTTAGTTGATTTTTTTCTCCAAATGGGGCATTCTATGAGTAAAATTTTAAAATTTCTCTAATTTATTATTAAAATTCTATATTTTACTAAATTGTAAAGAAAATTTTTTTTAATTAATAAGAAAATCGATTTTTCTCTCCTAGTAACTTTTCAGCCGTACTAACTTGTATTCGGGTTAAATTGTGTTTTTAATAGTTTTAACAACAAATTCATTTTATCTTTGTTATTAACTAACATATTTATTATTATAGTTTTAAGAACAAATTTTGTTTATGTTCGTTATTAATTAACACCTAAGTTTATCAAGATCGTGTTGTCAGCATCCTAAATCCTTTATTTGTGTTTTTTAATTAGTTTTTTTTAATTATCCTAAATAATTTATAGTTAAATATATAAACAATAATGTTTCTAAGGTTGAAATAATATAAAAGTCTTTTTAATAAACAACTTGATCTAGACATTTTGTACTTGTCCCACCAGTCACAAATGCCTGTCCCACCAGTCACAATAAAAACAAATTTTTTTAATTGTTTCTACGTAAGGTAAAAGCCCCTATTATTGACAGGGCCCCTATTATTGACATGTTTTATTTTATTGATTATTTAATCAATTTTATGATTAAATCACAATAAACATTGCTTTTTATCAATTTTTAGAAATTTTTTAGTAAGAAAAAAGTCAAATTTTATGCCTGGGTATTAATTATTAACTGCAAAAAAATTTTATTTTTCCGAGTAGACCACTACGGCTAGTTTATTTAAAATTTCTTAACAATTTCGATAAAAGAGAGTGTATTTTAAATAGCGAATTTTTCTATATAATTCTGATAAAAGCCTATCATCCAAAATTATTTGAGGTTATTTAAACTCTAAAATAGAAACGAGTAATTTACGCGATGATACTGATAACAGTTATTACAAATATCTACAGTATATTTTTCATATATACATACATATATAATATATGAAAAATTGATGTGGGTACTCAAATGAAAGGTCTTGATGAGCTTAACATCGGGATGAGCTTATATCTTTAAAAATGTCAATAATTCACAAGATACAAGGTCATTTCTTAATTATTTACCTAGAGACTATTCTGGATACCAAATTTTTTTTTTTTCATAAAAAAAAATTAAAAATATTTTTAAATTAAATAATTATTAACTTATTTAAAAATTAAAAGAAAATTTTTTTTTATAAAAATAAATTAATAAGCGCATTGTCCGGCGATTAAATCCTTATAAGGCTCGTCTGGTATTTCTTCATGACTGTCAAAGAGCATTATTGTCAACGACAGATGGCCACACATGAAATTTTCGTTCTTGTTTTTTACATCTCCGTTATAACTTACAACAAAAATAAAAAGTATGACACATTGGACATTAAATAATATTGAATAACCAGCCAACAAAAAATCAAAATTTCATTTTAAATACCACCACTTTAAAACGTTATTTTAAGTTCCCTTTTTTGCAATCCACTCACTTTTAATCTGCAGCCTGACGCTTGACGCCATGTAGCATGTTACACAAATTTTATTTTTATATTTATTGGTCCGTATTTAGCATACAAATTATTTTTTCACAAATTTTTAACTTTTAATTTAGATAGTTTAAGGTACTTTTCAAGCAATAGTATTCAGATAAATAGGTAATTAAATGACCGAGGGGATCGTTAACATAGTAATGAAGATCGTTGACGGTTTCTTGAGAAATATATGTGGCGATAAAGTGTCTCAGGTTCCTCATAAAATTTGTATTTTAGATTTTTTAGAGGGCTTGAGGATAAGGATCTTTTTGTCGCGTTAAAAATAAACATTTTATTTTATATCTTCGGTTATTGTTTTTATTTGGTAATAATAATAATAAAAACTAGTAACCTGCAGTCCTAGTAACTTTTCAGCCGTACTAACTTGTATCCGTGTCAAATGTTGTTTTAATAGTTTTAAGAACAAATTCATTTTATGTTTGTTATTAATTAACACCTAAGTTTATCAAGGTCGTGTTGTCAGTATGCTAAATCCTTTATTTGTGTTTTGTAATTAGTTTTTTTTTTAATTATCCTAAATAATTTATAGTTAAATATATAAACAATAATGTTTGTAAGGTTGAAATAATATAAAAGTCTTTTTAATAAACAACTTGATGTAGACATTTTGTACTTGTCCCACCAGTCACAAATGCCTGTCCCACCAGTCACAATAAAAACAAATTTTTTTAATTGTTTCTACGTAGGTAATCAGTCTAATTCTTCATAATATTCAATGTTTGTAGGATAAATTTAGTATTTTCGAGGGAAGTATTTTTTTTCAGTTTAGTGCAAGAACTGAAATTGGACTTTAAGTATACCTTTGGTAAGAGAAAAGAATTTGTTGTTAGTCCCACCAGTCACACTCAGTCAAATGATAATTACGAGAAACTTAAAAAGTAATGGAGGTTTTTGACAAAGGGATCTTGTTAATTAGTTATTCTTCTATATTATAAGATAAATTTTACTATAGTATAAGTTTCAGTCACATAATTATATATAATTGGTGGAATTCCAGAGTCAAATGTCCCACCAGTCGCTATGGAATGCCCCAAACAATGACTTATGCGCATGCGCCGCAATGGTTCCTTTTGATTAACCAATTAGGAACTAGGTAACATATATTATTTAAAGCCCGAAAATTTTTAAGTAGTATTCATCTCAACAGATTTAAATTATTTAAGAAATTTAATTTTAAATTTTACGAGAACTTTTAAGTTAATTTCTTTGCACAGTAAAAATTTATCTAGGTGGCGTTGCACACTCAGTAATTATTAAAAATTTTTGTATGGTAAAAATACAAGTTTCTGAAGTAAAATATAATTAAAATGAAACTTATTTTTTTAGGATTAATATTTTTTTAATTTTTTTAATCTATTTAAGGGTTAAGTCTAGTTTGTCACTTTCGAAAATTTGTTTTTTTTTGTTACATTTTTCTAATGTACATGTATATAAAAATTCCCGGGGATGTGTTACCTGTTTTGGATAAAGGCTTGCAAATATAATTTTTTTTTATTTTTTATTTAACGAAACTTTAAACGCGTTTTTCTCAAACGTACTTTTTCACGAACGGCCAACACGATTTCTCTGGAACCCGTCGGCCGATCCTTCTGAAAATTTAATCACATATTCTACACATAAATAATCATACAATAGACTACTATCATGTTGAAATATTAATTTTTACTATTTTTTCTTACAAATAACAGCGAAAAAAAAAAAAACAATATGTTTGGCTTTTGTTTCTTAAAATTACCAACAATTTTTCAAAATTAATATCAATAGTCTATTTAGTAGCCATTGTCATACCAAATCTAAAACACTTTCGTTTTTTCGTTTTACATAAGCCGTTGCCAAGATATCGTATAGCCGACCTTCCTCCAAATTATGGCATTTCTTTTTACGAATTTTTTCTAAAAAAACTTCAAAAAATTTTTATTTTTATTACACTAGATTTATCATCCCTAACATCGTTTATAAACATATCTTTCATAGCAAGTTCACGAGAAATTCCCCAAAATCGTTTATTTTTTCAGCCGACAAACTAGACTACACCCTTTAAAAATTTCTCTTCAATTTTAATAAAAATTACGTATAAAATAAATAAAAATAGCAGTATAAAAGTCGAGCTTGCAGAAATTCAATCAATTTTTCATTAAACTCTCTATTAAAAAATGAAATCAACATCTGAATAATAAAATATTAATCTGATAGCGAGTGAAAAGCATCGTCCAATTTTCTATTATAAAAAATCACACATTTCAACACGGTAAATAAATAAATACCAACCGCTAGCTTTAAATAAATAAATAAATAAATAAAATTAATAAAACCTGATTAATTAAAACTGTACCAAGCACTGCAATGATACCTTAAAATTAAATAGAAACAATAGTGACGGACAAGCAAATGCGTGCAAATAAAAACCTAAATAGTATCACCTCTCTGTAATACCTGGATGAAAGAAAAAAATAGCAAGTAGGATGAAGCGATATTTTAATTAATGATTTTTTTATTTTTATTATATTTATCCCGATAGATTTTATATTTAATTTTAATAATAAATCAATTATCTGACGTTTTGTTAAATAAAAAAAAAGAGGAAAATAAATGAGTTCTTACCAGAAGAATCCGCGGACGGCCAACTGGCCCGCGGAATAACTGGTGGAAGCACACTCAGCAATAACAAAGGTAATCCACCTCCGATGCTTGGATTTCGTTGGGGTATAGACGCACTCGACGAGGCGTGAGAGGGATCCACTGGCTCTTGGCCTAATTGTTTTTCCAGTCTCGCTAATTCTAATTCCAATTGTGCCATTTCACGGCGGTACACACGGTTCTGTACTTCCACTCTGTATTGGAGCTCTCTGGTGACCAAATTTACCAAAAAATCATTTATTTACTTGATAATTTATAATTATCAGTTGTCGGTTTTAATTACTTTAATTTAATCTGAACTTTAAAAATTTTTGGTGATTAAAATTGATTTAATTTATTTGATTAACGAATAAATAATCATGTTTTATTCGAAATTAAAATAAGTAATGTGATTGCTTAATTATTGACATTTTTAAAGATATAAGCTCATTCCGATGTTACACTCATCGAGACCTTTCATTTGAGTACCCACATTAATTTTTCATATATTTATATATATTATATATATGTATATATGAAAAATATATGAAAATGCATGTGGGTATTTAAATGAAAGGTCTCGATGAGTGTAACATCGGGATGAGCTTATATTTTAAAAAATATCATTAGTTGACAAGATACAACGTCATTTCATAATTATTGATATTTTTTTAGATATAAGCTCTTTTTGATATTACACTCATCATGACATTTAGTTTGAGTACCCACATGCATTTTTGATATATTTTTGATATATACATATATATAATATATACAAATATATAAATATATCAAAAATTGATGTGGGTACTCAAATAAAAGGTCTCGATGAGTGTATTACCAAGATGAGCTTATATCTTTAAAAATGTCAATAAAACCCTTCTAAATTTTGCAATGAACAATTTCTTATAAAAATTTGCACGTTATCTATCTAAAATTGATTTTTTTCAATTCTAGATAACTATTTTTCAACAAATAAATTTCTTAAACAATATTGCTAATTTTTTTAAAATAAATTTTTATTTTCAATATAGTTCTTGGTTTCTCCGCTAGATGGCTAACGTTTCTCGCAAGTAGAAAAATCTGATGAGAGTATATAATACAAAATAACTAAAAAATTTATTTTTTGTCCCAAAAATATTTGTTTTTTTATCATGTAATATTTTTTTAGTATAGTGCTTAGTTTTTCCGCTAGATGGCTAACGTTTTCCGCAAGTAGAAAAATCTGATGAAAGTATATAATATAAAATAGTAAAAAAATTAATTTTTTGTCTCAAAAATGCTCGTTTTTTTTTAATTAAATTTTTTTTTCTCTCGATATAAGCCATACAAAATTACTATTTCAAATAAATGACTTAATTAGGAAATAATACCTTCTGTCATCGGTGACAAATCTCCTGGTATTGAACTCAATTTTCAACCCCAAGCTCTGAACAACTGGATCAGTCCTTTCGCCACCCATGATATTGTTGAGCTGAGGGAGAAAGAGCAGGACAAGTGTCGACGTCGTGGAGGCCATAATTAGGGCAGTGATTGTGACAAACGCAAGGGTCGCACGGTCTGACATTAAATTCGCAAGTACTACCACTATTCCAGAGGTAATTACCACCGAATATACGCTCATTCCAATGTACTGGGAGTCGTTGAGCGCCGGGATTTTCACGTGTCTTGAATCAACAAAAAATTAACACACTTTTGGTGATGAAATTTCTGTCTGAGGAAAAAATGAATATTCAAGAACAATAATATGTTTTTTATTTTTTACCGTGTTTCCCAGGCCATGTAGACACCGACAACCAGCAAAAGGCCTTTGTAAGCGTACAAAGAAGCCAACCAGCCATTAGTGTGCTGTGATCGGCATACTTCAACCTGAAAAAGATATTTTAAATATAAATATATATAATGGAGTCTAAAAGGCTTTGCCAATTACTTCCGAGCTTCTATTATGTTATACTTTTTTTGAGTGGATTGATCTTGCGAAAAATTTAATTGGGCAATATTAAACGTAAAAGATGTTTTTAATTTAATGATAGTTTATATATTTTTGTGAGATTAAAGAAAATTTAGTGTGATAAAATAAGTTTTTTAAAATTTAATTGAGATTTTGATATTATACACATCGAGACCTTTCATTTGAGTACTCACATGAATTTTTTATATATTTTATATATTTATATATTTCATATATATCATATATCATATATATGAAATATATGAAAAATTGATGTGGGTACTTGAATGAAAGGTTTCGATGAGTGTAACATCGAGATGAGCTTATACCTTTAAAAATATCATTAGTGAACAAGATACAAGGTAATTTCTTAATTATTGATATTTATAAATATATAAGCTCATCTCGATGTTACACTGATCGAGAGCTTTTATTTGAGTACCCACATGCATTTTCATATATTTTTCATATATACATACATGTAATATATATAAATATATAAAAAATTGATGTGGGTACTCAAATGAAAGTTCTGAATGAGTGTAACATCAGAATGAGCTCATATCTTAAAAAATATCACTAATTAAGAAATGACGTTGTATTTTGTCAACTAATGATATTTTTCAAGACATAAGCGCATCTTCATATTACACTCATTGAGATCTTTCATTTGAATACCCACATGATTTTTTTATATATTTCATATATTTTGTATATATAATATTTATTAAATATATAAAATATATGAAAAATGCATGTGGGTACTCAAATGAAAGTTTTCGATGAGTTTAACATCGGAATGAGCTTATATCTTCAAAAATATCAATAGTTAAGAAATAAAGTTGTATCTTGTCACCTAATGACGTTATTAAAGATATAAGCTCATCTTCATATTCCACTCATCAAGACCTTTCATTTGAGTACCCACATCAATTTTTCATATATTTTATATATATCACAAATATCATATATATATCAAAAATATAAAATATATGAAAAATGCATGTGGGTACTCAAATGGAAGGTCTCAATGAGTGTAACATCAGAATGAGCTCATATCTTAAAAAATATCACTAATTAAGAAATGACGTTGTATTTTGTCAACTAATGATATTTTTCAAGATATAAGCTCATTTTGAGATTGCACTCATCGAGACCTTTTATTTGAGTACCCACATGATTTTTTTTTATATATTTCATATATTTTATATATATCATATTTATTAATTATATAAAATATATGAAAAATGCATGTGGGTACTCAAATGAAAGGTCTCAATGAGTATAATCTCGGGATGAGCTTATATCTTAAAAACTATTATTAGTTAATTTAGAAAGATTTCTTAATTTAGAAAAAAATTATTTTAAATAAAAATTTTTTTCAAAAAAAAAATTATCCTCCAACTTAATTTAATAATCCTCGACAGTGACATAGTCACAGTAGGTTGCTATATTAATTATAATAATAATTATTATTATTATAATAGAATTGGTAGATATAGTTACCTGTGGTTGATAGACAACGCCGCGATCCTGAGGGCTTATCTCTAACGTGAGGTTACGAAGATATCGCTCCATTGGATCCAATGTCACCCACAGCGTTACCACAAGTCCATCGATCAGTAAAAGCACACATATTAAACTAATTAGTTGAGTGTCTTGCAGTAGCTAAAAGATTAATTCAATTTTAATTACCTGTCGGTATTTTATTCTCTCGGATTTATTTTAATTAATAATATAAAATTTATTCACATTTTGTGAAATTAATTTTTTTAATAATTAAAAATTATTCCAGTAAATTTGAAACATAACAAAAGTTTATTGTAAATTAAATTAATTCAATTTTACACAGAGAGTAATTAGAATTTCATTAATAAATTACAGTTAATTATATTTTACGGTAGCTGTAATTTTATCCATAAAATAATTATATAACGAATAATTTAATTGAATTTGTTGTACCTTGTTCTTAACAACTCCGCTGCGACTTCGTGTGAATATACGATGAACCCGGTAGGTTTTTGTAAACATTGAACCAAATGCCAGCGAAAACCCGGCTGACAGTAAATAGACACGTGCCTAGATAATTTAATTTCATTTTTTAGTACTCAAAATTGTATTAAAAGTTTTTAACTTGGAATGTCATAATAAATTATGATTAATAATTTTATTTAAAAGGATTTTAAAAAATTAGAAGCTTTTTAATTAAGATTAATTAATTAATTGACTAAAAATTCTCTAATTCCTTCTAATTTATTCCTAGTAATTATTAAAAATTCTATATTTTACTAATTTGTAAAGAAAATTATTTTTAATCAATAAAGAAATCGATTTTTTTCTCCTAGTAACTTTTCAGCCGTACTAACTTCTATCCGGGTCAAATGTTGTTTTAATAGTTTTAACAACAAATTCATTTTATCTTTGTTATTAACTAACATATTTATTATTATAGTTTTAAGAACAAATTTTGTTTATGTTCGTTATCAATTAACACCTAAGTTTATCAAGATCGTGTTGTCAGCATGCTAAATCCTTTATTTGTCTTTTTTAATTAGTTTTTTTTAATTATCCTAAATAATTTATAGTTAAATGTATAAACAATAATGTTTGTAAGGTTGAAATAATATAAAAGTCTTTTTAATAAACAACTTGATGTAGACATTTTGTACTTGTCCCACCAGTCACAAATGCCTGTCCCACCAGTCACAATAAAAACAAATTTTTTTAATTGTTTCTACGTAGGTAATCAGTCTAATTCTTCATAATATTCAATGTTTGTAGGATAAATTTAGTATTTTCGAGGGAAGTATTTTTTTTCCAGTTTAGTGCAAGAACTGAAATTGGACTTTAAGTATACCTTTGGTAAGAGAGAAGGATTTGTTGTTAGTCCCACCAGTCACACTCAGTCAAATGATAATTACGAGAAACTTAAAAAGTAATGGAGGTTTTTGACATAGGGATCTTGTTAATTAGTTATTCTTCTATATTATAAGATAAATTTTACTATAGTATAAGTTTCAGTCACGTAATTATATATAATTGATGGAATTCCAGAGTTAAATGTCTCACCAGTCACTACACAGAAAAAATTAACTGTTGCTGCAACAGGAGGCAGTCATGTTGCAGCAACAGGAAAAAATCCTGTAGCAGCAACAAGAAAAATTCCTGTTACAGCAACAGGATTTTCCTGTAGCTGCAACAGGAGGCAGCCATGTTTCAGCAACAGGATTACTACTGTTATTGCGACTTAATAGTAAAATATAGTTGGGTCATTCCATGTCAAATTGACTTACAGTTGGAATTGACCCCTTTTGATTTAGATAAATTTTGATCAGAAATTTTCTTTTATCATATAACAAACTTCTGCCAGACGATAAAATTTTATTCAAAAGATATGCAAATTCAAAATTTCGCTATTTTTTCAGTTTTTTTAAATACTTTAAATACTTCAATAACAGTATTTAACGTCAAATAACTCAAACAGATATAAATTTCCAATAAAAATCAGAAATCATGTGATGAGAATATCAATTTTGTTTTGTTTTTTCGAATACTTGTTTACTTCAAATATTTACTACTTGTTTACTTCAAATATTTACTACTTGTTTACTACAAATTTCTGCACATTAATGTTGCTCAATCTCAAATTTCAAATCATTTCCATCCAAATATCATGTGTTAAGCCTGACTTTGATTACTCCAAAAAAATAAAAAAAAATTGAAATTAATTTATTATTTAATATTTCCACGCCGTGCATTTAATTTTTTAATGCTCAAAATTACAATACTATGTATCTGCATAACTTTACCTTATTTAAAAGTTGCAAAAAACAAGAAAAAATTTTTTTTTGAAATTCAAAAATTCATATTTAAAAAAAAACACACAGTTTTAAAAATTTCAGGGTCTTTTAAGATCAGTACAAAGTTAAATACTGTTATTGAAGTATTTAAAGTATTTAAAAAAACTGAAAAAATAGCGAAATTTTGAATTTGCATATCTTTTGAATAAAATTTTTTAATTTTTTTTCGTCTGGCAGAAGTTCGTTATATGATAAAAGAAAATTTCTGATCAAAATTTATCCAAATCAAAAGGGGTCAATTCCAACTGTAGGTCAATTTGACATGGAATGACCCAACTATATTTTACTATTAAGTCGCAATAACAGTAGTAATCCTGTTGCTACAACAGGACTTTATCCTGTTGCTGCAACATGGCTGCCTCCTGTTGCAGCTACAGGAAAATCCTGTTGTTGTAACAGGAATTTTTCCTGTTGCTGCAACAGGAGGCAGTCATGTTGTAGCTGCAGGAAAATCCTGTTGCTGCAACATGACTGCCTCCTGTTGCAGCAACAGTTAATTTTTTTCCGTGTATGGAATGCCCCTAATATATACGAATTTAAAAATCCAAAAAATTTTTAATTAATATTATACATTATATAGTAATAATTGAAGAAGTCATTCGGAATTGACAAATAAAAAACTAAAGGATACATTTTGTTTTTAAAAAAAACAATACAAAATGATAAAATTTTTAAATTCTGGATTAAACATACTGAAGATATAAAAAAATCACAAGATACTTTTTTTAAGAAGTTAAATTTTCTAACAAAAAAGTCCTAATCGATTTCCACCTATCTCTTATCATTTGCCCGGAATTTCAATTTCAAACTTGATTTCAATCGTCTCGGATTAGAATCGGGTGTTTAGAAAGTTTAAAATCGAAATTCTGGAATAAATACTGAAGACACAAATCAATTGTGACTGAGCTTTAGTGCAGGAAATTTTATTTTATATATAAATAGTCTTTATCAATTTCCCCGTATTTCTTATTTTTTAGTCAGAATTTAAACTCAAACTGATATCGCCGATTTGAGTCATCGGTATGCAAAAATCCAAAAAAATTTCGTTGGTATAAAATATTATCTAGTGATTAATTGAAGGAACTGTTGAAATATCTAGTCTTAACAAAAAGGCGGGTTAAAAAAAAAATATCGATTTTAAATGAAAATTTTAGCTTTAAATTTTTTACAAAAATATAATATATTTATCGGAATTATTAATCCTTGGATCGATTACTGAAAAATATAGTTGAGAAAATAGTGTAAAAATTAGAGACTGATCGGTTGAACCGTTTTTCGATAAATCTTACTCACCAACTTTTAAAATACAGCTGTGAGAAAACAGTGTTTGAAGTTATTCGGCTGGAGCCCCATTTTTGTGCGACACGCTCCGATTAGGCTTTACAAATATCCGTATAACTTTGAAAATACTTCCCCAATTGACATTCAATTTTTTTTGTATCTACTTAAATATATCTACATTACAAAAATGAAATAAAAATTTAAAGTGCTTATAACCCCTTAAAAAATTTTAAATTAATCCAGAATTTATTTGTTCATTATTTTTAAGAAGAAATGTCTTGAATCTCTTGACTTAATTTTATCTTAGGCGCCTTTATATTTGATTCGGGACAAAAAAAATTTATACGAAAAAGGGTGAGGGTGAGAATTTTTTTTCTGTCTAAGGATTGAAAAAAATTCACCGACTTAATTACTTAATGTGGAAAAAATTGAAGGTTCTTCTGTCAATTAAATAACTCAATAGATAAATATAAGAAAAAAAATTCTTACTGTAGACAGTTATTTTATTTTGATCGAAATATTATTTTGATAAATTCTAAAAAATATTTATTTTACAATTTAATAAAAAAAATAAAGGCGTTATAGAAAAATTTCAGACGAGTAAATAAAAGTTGCATTGATAGCCAGACGCTGTTTGAACTTTATATATATTAAAAAAAAAATTATTAGCATACATTTTAAAAAAGCAATAACTTCTTTTATTAAAACTAACAATGTGGATTTTCATTTTTTAATTATCTATAAAGTTTATTCATCATCAATATTTATGTGCTCGTCAAATAAAAACGTTTTTAATAAATTAAAAAATTTTTAATTAAATCAAGTCAATTATTTTTTATTTTACAAAAGAATTTTTAAATTAACTTACCGTGCAAATAGTAGGAAAATAATCATTAGGCAGTGTCTTATGATCTAATCCAAGAAGAATAACAGCTCCATAAACTAGAACGCATCCAACTGCAGCCATATTGTTGAGCCTCGGACTCGAGAGTTTAATGCTCCTATATTTTATATAAATTTCTTTTCTTACTTTTTTTTTCACCGTAAATATTTCTCCACAATATACAATAAGTAATATATAAAATATAATAAAGAAGACGATATAATAAAATGTCAAGATTTAGAGGCAGTAAAATATTTTACGACACTCTTTTACGGGTTCGGAAAAAAAATTATAAATTGGATGAAAATTCGGGAGAAGATAAAAATGTAATCTCTTACTTATGTCGCCGAAAATGAAGATTGAAGGCCAGAAATGACAGCGCCAACGTCATTCCGATGCTCGCTAGACATGATACTGTCAGAAAAGCCGCGGTGTCTATTGTCATCATGCGAATTCGAAAGACGCGACGAGCTACAGGGGGAACTCCCCCTGGCCAACGCACCTGCCCACATCCAGGGCAATCTAGTGTCAGGTTTTCATCCTCGGGGGTGTAAATTGCAATTCTTCTCACAGTGTGACCTAAAAATTAAATTTTTCACTTTTACACTGAGAAAAAAAAATACTCTTATTATTATTAATTATTAATTTCTGAAAAGAAGAACATCAATATATATTTTTAGATAAAAGTATACCTCTTTAGGCATTGACGGTGAAAAGTACCCAACATATTTCATTTTCAAATATCGTGGTCCTCAATCAAGTTAGAGAATTTTTTTTTTCTTTAAATCAAAGCTCAAAAAATTCTCTATAAAATAGATATGATATTAAATTAATTAGTGCCAATTAAAATAGATAAAAATACTATCGAAGTTTAAATATACACAAAGAATCATAACGAAATAAAATTTTGAGGTGGGTATTTTTTACTCAGTGTGCTTGTCAAGGGTTAAAAATGTCAATCGTACACGATATACAAGGTCATTTCTCCATTATTGACATTTTTTAAGATAGAAGCTCATCATGATGTTACACTCACCAAGAGCTTTCATTTGAGTACTCACATGCATTTTCATATATTTTTCATATATACACATATATAATATATATAAAATATATGAAAAATTGATGTGGGTACTCAAATGAAAGGTCTCGATGAGTATAACATCGGGATGAGCTTATATCTTTAAAAATGTCAATAATTAAGAAATAACCATATATCTCGTGCGCGATTGATATTTTTAAAGATATAAGCTCATCCTGATGTTACACTTATCGAGACCTTTCATTTAAGTACCCACATGCATTTTCATATATTTTTCATATATACATATATGTAATATATATAAATATATGAAAATTAGATGTGGCTACTCAATGAAAGGTCTCAATGGAGTAACATTGAGATGAG